AGGACACTCTAATCTGAATCCGTATTTCTCCCACTGGAGTGAGTGAGACCTGTCTCCTTGTAGGATAAAGAGCTTCTGTCCAGCTATAATGACACTAGAGTCTAGTGAATCTGAAACAATACAGACACATCATATCTAATACCAGTATAGTACACACACAATCATTAACATGTGTACATGTACATGAATAAATTACCCATTGAAGGGATCAGGTAATTAAATGGTAGTCCAATGGAACCAGTCTCTTTGATGGATTGTTCCTCTAAGGATGTGACTCTCTCCTGTAGTTGTGACTTCTCCTTCATTAGTTTGGTTGTATACAATTCATTATCAGACACTTTAGCTCTAAAGTCTATAAATTAATAGAATATTAGTAATTATTATTGATTGATGATGATACACTAATCAGTAATGATCTGTTTCTCATTTTGTGATTGTTCCTCTACTTGTGATGTCAGTTTGGCTATAACTTTGTCTTTCTCAGAAACTATTTTTTGATTGTTATTTATACAATAGACATATTCTCTTAACCACAACTCCAAAATAACATACTCATATTATGTAAAGACTTTTGATTCAAATGAAGTGTAGTAATAAATTGATCTTAACTTTACATGCATCATTTATAATGCAACTTACCAATGTATTTTTTATTCAGCTCAGACTTATACTGGTCCAAAGGAACTAAACGAACACGTAACTCATCATTACTATATTCTATAAAAAAGATTGAATACTATGTGTAGCAATACTATTGTCATCTTGTTTGTTATTGTAATCTCATTTTGCATACTATTATTAGCACATAAAATGAGACTCCATTGGTGCATCTCGCTAAAACAAAATGAAACAATAACTGTTTTACATTTATGATTTCAAAACTAATTGGTCTTACATAGTACCACTGTAGGTACATTGGTAGGGCACTAGGTCTATAAAGGCCGAGAAGGAACCTTTTCGTGCACTTTGCGCGCAAAAAATTTTGCCATATCTAATTAATATTCATGATGGGTGTGGTCAATTTTGGTCAATTAATTGATTGATTGTTAACTTTTGACGCCCAAAATTCATAATGGCGTTCATTTCCAGCTTATAACTACTGACTGTATTTCTACATTATGAGTCAGTTGTTGGTGTGTGTGAACATAGATATGGTGTGAAGAAGTAAGCAGTGATTGAGTCTTTCCTGGATGGTTATTAAATGAATTAACTTGAATTAATAACTAATTTTAATAAAAAATGGCTACTGATCTTCAAAATATTGGTGGGGCAACTGCCCTACCTGCCTCTTAGGCAGCGACACTTCTGTATTAAAAGTTGCTTGCCATAGTGTTGATTGCATTCTCAGGGCCGTAGGAAGGAGACTGAGAAGGGTATGGCTCTTTTCCGCGCACGAAGCGCGCGGAAAAATTTAGCCAATCTAATTAATTATTCATGAGGGGCGTGGTCAATTTATTATTATTATTATTATTATTATTATTATTATTGATATTAATAAAGTGAAACTACTGCACCACTTTTGTTTTATCAAAAGGGCGCTGTGGGAAATCAAATCTATCTGGCTGATTAGGACTGTCTACAGGAAGGTCAGGTAAAGTAAAACTCGAAGATGAAGAGCTGCTGCTGCTACTACAAGCCATGCTGACAGGGCGTGTCTGATTTTAATTAATTAATAATTTACTCCAAAAACGGTACGGCCATGGCCGTGGCGACCGTAGCAGTTCCTACGGCCCTGATTCTTCATAGTCTAATTAAGATGTGAGGGTGTTTGGGTGTGGCTACAAACTGACAGTTACAGCATAGATATTAGAGTAAATGAAAGGGATTGGCAACGGGGCATAGCAACAGGAAATGTGGGTTGGGTTACCATGTGACAACCATCAGTGTTTTGATTGATTTCCCATCTCCTCCATTGGTGAAGTTGCTCTGGCAGGATTTCGAAGGAAATTTGTACTGCTCCAGGATAGCGCTATCCTATGATATATGGCCCATTCCACATAGAATTTTTAGAGCTATCTGCAGCAAGGTTTTTATCTCCAAAAAGCCATTTTGCAACCAGTTAGAGGTACACAAAGTCGCCTGGTTTTTAAACACTTTATCGTTCGTAAAACACTCAAGCTTCATTGTATTAATATGCAAGTTAGCTCATTCCATAGGAGATTTCAAGCTCTTTAAAATGATTATACTTATTCATAGCTCAAGAACAAAATGAGTCTCTCAGAGGGGGAAAAGACGGTATTTCTAGTTAAAGAGTGATGCAGCTACTAACGCATGCATTGATTTACTGAACAAAAAATATTAATAAAAAGCATAAACATTGGTTAGTATTGTGTGTGAGTTTTGTTTGCATGAATTGTATTCTCTTGGAGTTATTCAAGAATAAAGCAAGAAAATCCCAGTTTTTTACTCCAAAATTGGTCAAAAAATCCCAACCCTCCTCTGTGTACTTAGCAACAATACAAATGAATGGAGGTTTGCCCCCACCCACGCTTCCGTTTCCAATCCCTTTCATTTACTCTATTATCTATGGTTACAGTATAGTGAAAGTGTCAAATCTTGATTGCTAGAGCATTAAGGCTACAAATTTAA